AGATACAGGAATGCCCATTTTAACTAATGAAAGTGTTATTTTAAAAGTACAAATTTCTTAGGAATCTTCCCAGTTTTTCTTCATGTAAAATGAAGGTAGTAGTTAAAATTTTTGGTTCCTACTCTGTTACTCAAAAGACAGCATGCTATTTGTTCATAACAATACATATACAGCTTTGGAACAAAAAACTAGGTTCGGACTACTGTATCTGGCTTCTGAAAAACAATATTATTCTGGAACATAATGTCATTGTTTGTCAAAATAATCAGGCAAGTAGTGGTTTTACAGGCCACACGCCTGGGGAGCTAACTTCTGGGAGAGCAGGATATGATCTAGTCATACACGCTCAGTGAAGTCCCAGTGACTAAGGGACCCTGAACCTTGGACCTTCCTCTGTGGGTTTGCTGGATTGGTGAGAACATCCAGGCACAGGAGAGGGGATGACATGTCTCCGGGGACAATGGAAGTCTCGTGCTGCCAGGACAACTCCCAGGAATTCCTGATGCATCTCTTCACTTACATTCTTTCTAGTTCTAAGTGGACAACTGTAAGTATAAATAGCCTCTGTAAAGTTCATTAGCTGTTGCAGAGAATTAACAAGCCCACAGGGCCAAGAGGCTCAGAATTAGCTGGGTGGTTAATTCTGAGAAAGGGTATACAGACAGACAATTTGTGAAGAACCAGCTGGTGGCTGGTGACTGGTGGAAACAGGAAGATGCAGGGGTAGCCCTGGGACTAGAGAGAAACAAAGGGAGGCCAAGAAGCTGTGCAGCCTCCAGAGTCTATGGCTGGTCCCATGTGCCAGGTGGGCAGGGATGTTTTTATCTAGTTCAGGGTGGGCAGGAATGAAGTCTGACCTAATTCTGCACTCAGAAATCAGGTCAGAGAGAGGAAACTGCCATGGAAGAGACTCACCTTACTTATCCCTTTTATAGTACAATGCTTGCAAACAAAGCTTGCTTTGTTGTTGTTGTTAAGTGCCAGAGTGAGTTTTGACTCCAAGGGAACCTATATAGGATTTCCTAGGAGTGGCTGAAGGGTTTCAACCATCAACCTTGTGGTTAGCAGTCCAGTGCTTATCCTATAGCACCACACCAGGACTTACATAAGATAAATTAAAAAATGAAGGGACTATCAAATTACATGGTAAAATTAATATATGAAAATCCCATCTTTCCAAGTTTTAAATAATGCTTTACACTTGTTATTATAAAGTATATTAACAGAGAGTACACAAATTTTTCATGTGAAGTTTTAATAACACTAATCTAAATAAACATCTGATTATAAATAGACTTGGGGAGTTCTTAAAGCCTAAGGATGTCCTGCTCAGACCTTATTAACCTGAAGGTAACTAATATCTATATATTAGAAACATATTTCCACTAAGACTATCATTACAGCTTTATCACCCAAGTTTTAATTTGTAAACAATAGGTGCTGAGTTTTGTCTCTTTTGAGCTTTCGTTTATATGCAATTAGTTTTACTGGGTTCTTTAGTGACTTGCTTTCCTTGTCATGTTTTTTAGTTTCATACATGTTGTCTGTAATTGTCTACCCATGGTCCTATGTATGTGTGTTTCCACTGTATGAATGGGTCGCAGTTTACCTACCTGTCATACAACTTACAGGATCTGGGTTGTTTCAAAGTTTAATTTGGACAAATTGGGTTGTTTCAAGCATAGTGCTTTTAGCTACCATGAAGATTTAAAGCCTCAAAAACCCTATACAGGGGCGCTGTGAGTCGGAACCGACTCCACGGCACTTAACAACAATCCAAGACCATGGAAGCAGTCAAACATTTTAAAACACTAAATACTAGTTCCAGGCACAAATGGGCTAGGAGGACCCGGATCTCCACTACACTTCTTGCAAACCTGAAAGCCTCAAGCAAAACTGTTCCTGTCAAGGGAAATCGAGTTTTGAAGACCTCTCGCTCGGCACACACACATTCTCCGGCAAACTCACTCTCCTGCTTCTTTCTTTTGGTGAGGAAATGGAAGTGTCAAGCCCCATGCAGTACCTCATAAAAAGTCTTCCCCTGTTCATGATCTCCACGTTTTTACGCCCGACACAGTATGAGAGAGAGATGAAGGCAGAGGGTTAGAACTGCAGAGAAAGGCTACGGTGCCAGGGCAAAGTAACGGAAACTGCTATGGTGCAGTGAGCTCAGGCTCACCCTCCTCAGTCGGACTTGCTCTGTCTTGAGGTTGTGAGCACCAGATGCTGTCATTCACCACAGCTCACCCAGGCCCACAATGGGAAGGTTAGGGCTCCATGCTGGAACTGAGAGTCACAGAAAGAAAGTGAGCAGGCAGTCACGCCTTGGAAAACCACAGACTCCTATGTATACAAGGACCCAGGAACAATGGACCAAGGATGCCTCTATGGGCCCACCCCGTCCACTGGCCTTCTCTTGTCACCTGTTATCTCAAACTTTGAGTCTGATGCCCTAGAGCAACTGAGTCTAATTAATAATCATTCCAGATAAATAAAGAAAAAGTAATTATTATTACTGTTAGGAAGTTGACCACCAGAACACTTTCCAGCAAGCAGGCTGGTTCAAGTGATGTTCAACTAACTCTTTGTTATAAGCAATATTTATACTATTTTTCAACACTGCTAATTAGTACAGCACGAAGGTGGGCTATAATTCTACCATTCACATGCAATCACAAGGTGGTTAGGAGGTGTCCCAGTAAACACATTAAAAAGGAGAACAGGAGTAATTCAACTGGCGCCTGTTTGTCTAGATGGTAACTCCTTATCAGAAATGACACAAACAGGAACCAGGATCCAAGTGGAGCTAGGCAACCCTTAACATTGTACCCTAAAATAAAGCATATATCTAAGACATAAGAACAGGCTAGGGTGTGTGATGTAAGATTCTTTCAGGCAGTGTTTAATTATATTTACTCTTAAGCAAAATAGTTATGTTCTCAAAATGGCTCCACTTACGTTTATGTTGGTAAAATGAATCCACTCCTGTTCTATAAAACCTTTATTCCCCTCAGGTCCCAGGAGTCTCACTCTATTATGGTACGAATAGCCCAGTTCTCTGTGCTACTCACCATTTCCTTGTTCCAGATTCTGGAAGTCTAAGTGAATGTCCTCTCTGAGTCCAAGAAGCCACTTGCTTCCGTAAGAGAGATGAGAATGGCAGAAATGCCAGTAGGCAGTTGAGCGGCAGATGAAACGGTGGATTGACAGTCAGACACAGCAGTTGAAATCCTTACTCTTGATAGCATGGATGTGCAAGATGGTCGCCTCAAGTCTCCAGTGGTACAAATGGGACCAGGTCTCCCGATGCTGAGCCTGGGACCTGAAACGGGAGGAGGAGGGGAAAGAATCAGTATAAAGTAAGGAGGGGATGACAATTCAGTGGTTTACAGCTCTTTCCCTGGCCAGGGCTTCCTCTGAGTCTCAAGGTAATTCAACCTGAGGATTTTTGCAATTAAGGTAAACCAGGCTTCCAGTCTTCCAGACCCACACTTACATACTTCCTGCAGCTCCCCAGGGCTCTTCCTTCTGGCAACAAGATGGGGGAATTTGCTTATCTTAGAGAATGAGAAGCATCCAGAGCTGGCCAAACTGGAATACTGGAATCTGATTTCCTTTAAGGTGTTGTCATTAACTGCCATCAATTCAGTTCAGTTCTGACTCTTAGTGACCCTGTATAGGGTTTCCAAGGAGCAGCTGGTGAGTTTGAACTGCCAACCTTGTGGTTCAAACAACCTTGGATCCAATGTTTATCCTACAGCGCCACACCAAGTTCAGTTGTGCATTCATCTATTAACTTTGCCTCGTGTAGATCAACACACACATACACAGTTAATATGAGAACAACACCAGTAATATTTCAGGGAAAATCTCTTTTCCAGGTTTGATCAATGAACTCATATGCTTCACTGTTTTATTTTTTATTATGTTGATGTGTGCTTTTGAACACAGTCTGACTCAGAGCCACCTCGTATAGGGTTTCTGAGAGTGGCTGGTGGGTATGAGCTCCTGACCTTGTGATTAGCAATCCCGTGCTTATCCTACATTCTTTTGTTTTTACTTCTTTTACGTTTTCATTTCACATACACCACTGTAAGATGGGATCAATATCTTCCCCATCAACTTTACAATTAACATTGGCTCTCAGGCCACGGCACTAGTCCTCAAGATTTCCAGAAAACTAGAAGGATTTCTAAACACTTTCTCTTTCATTCTTTAAAAAAAAAAATCAGAAAATCTAAAAGTACTGAAACTTTTGTCTAATGGGCAGTCTCCCACATCTGTTTCGATGTCTTTCCACCCCATCTGTCCATTCAAAAGCCTATATATAGCCAGCAACTGATAGGTGGGAGAATATCAGTCTAGTACTTTTTCCTATGAGCCGGGATCCTTTGCACAGCACTTCCACAAAAACGCTTTCCTTGGGTAAAGACAACTCTGAGGTGTGACTTACATTCCAGAGCTCCCCAGGTGAGATCTGTGGCACTTTGCAAACTGAGATTGCACCCTGTCTCTCCCCTCCCTACCTAGCACCCTTCATGCCCTGATTGGTCTCCCTCTTTAATTAATGAAACCACTGGCACTGAATCCATTCTGACACACAACCACCGTACAAGACTGTCTAGAACTGCCCCATAGGGCTTCCAAGGCTATAAATCTTTGCGGGAGCAGAAAGCCTCATATCTTGCTCCGGCAGAGCAGGTGGTGAGTTTGAACTGCCAACCTTGTGGTTAACAGTCCAATGCTTAAACCATGACAACACCAGGGCTCCCTGCATGCTCCACTCAGCTGACTCCAACTCTGATTTTTTAGTCTCAGTGCAAAAATGTTCTCTCTCATGCATGATCTTTACGCCAGTATGTCCCTTTAAGCACTCTTTTTTTAAAATTATTCTCATGAAGTCTCTCATTTTAATTCATATCCTTTCTGATTATAATTGTTGTTTTCAGCATAAATTGTGAGCTGGTTAGATGTATAGAATCTCAAGTCCTAACCTAGACCTGCTGAATCAATAGCCTGTCTTTTAATGCTATCCCCAGCTTCTCCACAGCCATATTCACGTTAGAGACGTACCCACTGATTTACAGCCTGTAACTTTGATTCCCACACTGCAGTGGGATGAATGAACATTCTACCCATTAACAGATGTCCTTTGAACCATCTATACCTACATTATATCACCCCACTAGTTTCCTGATCCTTAACCATCCCCTTGACATCTAAGCCACCTCACACACTTAACTTGTTCATAACTCCTGTTTGACTTCATTCACGGCTGTCTTTTCCAGAGTCTATTTTCAGTAGAGGCACTGCTGTGTTCTGTTTTAAATCACAAATATACTCACATCCATCCCTACTACATAGTTGTCCAGTGACCTTCAAAAAAGCCCAGAGGAGTTGGTCTGGCTCTTAAGATTGTTGTTACAGTGACCCTGAACAGGAGCGTCTGGTGCATTTGAACCACTAGCCTTGCAGTTCAAGCCAACCTTGAGGTCGAGTGCTTATCCTACGGGGTCTACACCAGTACTCCATGACCTACTGCAATTGTCTCCTGAGATGTGCCTCATAGCAGCTCCCACTTAGAGTCGGTCTCAACCGTAGCTGACTGGGTAACAGTGGGTTCTCTGTGCCTCAAGAATTTATGTGAAATTTTCCCAAGGAAAATAGAAAATACTCTTTCCACCCCAACCCATCCCACTCAACCATATATGTTAGCTGAAACAAAAATTTAAGTCTTCACTTAAATAATTTCCCTTTCAAGCAGTCAAACCTGATTCTCAGGTGATTGTTGTTAAGTGCTGTCACGTCAGTTCTAATTCATAGCAATCCTGTATAGCGATTTCAGGAGCAGCTGGTAGGTTTGAACCACCAGCCTTGTGGTTAGCAGTCCAGTGCTTATCCTACAGTGCCATGCCAGGACTCCACTCTCAGATTAGGTTCTATCTTTACGTTATCAACATTCCTGGATTCTTACTATTTATTTCAAACTGTTTCCCATGAAAGGCTCTAAATCTATGCACCAAAATACTAAACTTGTTGCTACTGAGTGGATTCCAACTGACAGCTACCCTCTCAAACGGAGTACAACGGCCCCAGAGGGTTTCCAAAGCTGCAATCTTGCTGGAAGCCGACTGCCACATCTATTTCACGTAGAGCAACTGGTGAAGTCAAAGTGTCCACCTTTCAGTTAGCAACACTGTGCTAGCCAAGACTCTTTCATCTCTGGGCAGGCGTTAAGGCCTAATGTAGTTTGTGTTCCTATTCCTCCTGGCCTATGATGACCACTGAGTGTACACACACAGTATCACGTGTTGCATGTACTGTTGAGCAGGACTATCCAATGCAACTGGATGTGATGAAACATATGTTCTGTTACTGCAGTTCAGTGTGGGAGTCACTAGTCCCATACGAATTTTAACACCTAACATGTGGTTTTGTAGGATAAAAACGGAACAGTTAACCACAAATTTGGAGACTCAAAACCACCACTATCCGCTCTGTGGGTCAAAGATGAAGCATTCTGTTCCCTTAAAGATTTACAGCCTCGGAAACCCTATCCAAGGCCGCTATGAGTTGGAATATGACTAGTGTAAGTAGCTAAGGAACTGAGTAACTTCTTTTAGTTTTAGTTCATTTTAATTGAAGTAGCCACATATGGTTAGTGGACAGTTCTAGTACTCTCACTGGTATCCTATGGAACCAATACACCAGAGAGGGTGTGTATGCATGAAATCCACCATGAGTGATGCTCAGTTAGTTCTGACTCATAAAGACTCTCTACAGGGTTTCCAATGAGTGGCTAGTGGATATGAACCGCCGACCTTGTGGTTAGCAGTGCCGTAATTATTCTATAGCATCACACCAGAACTCCTAGCATACATTAGGACTGTAGAATAAAAGTTGATACTTTGGAATTTTAGAAGTGCAACTCTTAAGATTTGAAACTAGGAAAATGCACTAGTTTTGAATGAAGGTTTGCGTGTGACATGAAGTGACTAAGATACTCATGAAGACACCAAGGACAACCCCAGTACTAGAACCCTACCTCTATGTGGTGCTGTGGGTTAATGCAGCGGACTGCAGTCAATTGAACCACAAGGTCAGCGGTTCAAGCTCACCAGCCGCTCCTTGGAAACACTATGTAGGGTCACTATGGGTTGGAATCGACTCGACGGCACTTAACAACAACATGAAAACAAAGGGAAGCAAAGAAAAGGAACCATATATTCCTACAAATGTTGATATTAAAAGTAATAGGTATCTACTCTATAAGCTTTCACCCAATTCACAATAAAAAGTTAATAAAAAAACAAAAACAAGAACAATTGGCATCCATGCAGATTGTCATCACATGCAGAATCACTGATCTACAGTGCTTCCTCAGAAGTCTCGGTGGGTAGCCATAAGCAGCAGAAGAGACATCTGTGAGCTAGGGGGGAAGCAATGAGTGGGTGGCACGTAGTGGGTACATAGTAAATATTTTTAGGATGAATAGAAGAACAACAGAGTACGGATATAAAGTTGTAACAGCAGGAAGTTGATGGAGGTCACATGTTACAGTGTTGATTACACCACTATCTGTTGTTGTTGTTAAGTACCATGGAGTTGGTTCCAACCCATAGTGACCCTGCACAGGGTTTCCGAGGCTATAAATCTTTACGGGAGCAGAAAGCCTCATCTTTCTCCCGTGGAACTGCTGGTAGTTTCGAACAGCTGACCTTGAGGTTGGCAGCCAGACTCGTAATCACTATGCTACCAGAGCTCCTTTCACCACTATCTATGAATGTGGAAATTTCATATTTGAACAATGTTATAAATTGATTTATATTCCCCCCCAAAATATGTGTTGTAAACCTTAACCTCTTTGCCTGTGGTTATAATCCTACTTGGGAACGGGTTGTCTTTGCTTTGTTAATGGACAGGATGTGTGTATGATGTGTCTTCAATGAATTTTCCTCTGACATATAAAGAGATTAAACAAGTAAGTGAATAAAGCAGAGAGGGGGGAAGATACATGTTAAGTCACATGGAGATCACCTAGGAACCAGGAAGCATAAACTGAAGACACAAGGAACTCCCTTCAGAGCCAACAGAGAGAAAAAGCTTTACTGTAGAGCTAGTATTCTGAATTCAGACGCCTAGCCTCTGAAACCAAGAAAAAATAAAGTTCTGTTTATTAAAGCCAAAAAACAAAACAAAAACTAATAGGTAACCATTTTCCTCCAGGTGTTTTTTGAAAATTTAAAACTATGCAATTTTTCAGTTAAAAAAATTAGAATATCTATTTTTTCCCCAGATTCATCACAGTAATGATTGTTGTTCCTATGTGCCGTGGAGTCAGTTCCAACTCATAGCGACCCTGTACATGGTTTCTGAGGCTGTAAATCTTTACGGGAACAGAAAGCCTCATCTTTCTCCCGTGGAACAGCTGGTAGTTTCGAACTGATGACCCTGAGGTTAGCAGTCTGATTCGTAACCACTACGCTACCAAGCTCCTTTCAGTAATGATAGTAAATATTAATATTTCTGTTTGAAGAAACTTAACAAAACAAGAACAAACAAGGATGACTCATATTTCTCAGCTACAAAACAAAACTTAAAGCTACAGTAACCAAAATAGTCAAATCTTATAATGAGACACAGAGACCAACTGATCATTCAGAAATAAACACATACATATATAGCCAACTGATTTGCCAAAAGGGTGATGTTGTTGTTGTTGTTAAGTGCTGTCAAGTCAGTTTCGACTCAGCAACCCTGTATAAGGTTTCTAAGAAGCACTGGTAAACTGAAAACACTGACTTTCTAGTTCAAACTGACCTTGCAGTCCAGCGCATTAACTCATAGCACCACACCTAGACTCCAAAAGGGTGGTGGTGGTGGTGTGCTGTGGAGTCGGTTCCGACCCATAGTGACCCCACATAGGGTTTCCGAGGCTGTAACTCTTTATGGGAACAGAAAGCTTCATCTTTCTCTGGCAGAATGGCTGGTAGTTTCGAACTGCTGATCTTGAGGTTAGCATCTAGACTCGTAACCACTACGCTTCCAAAGCTCAAGGAAGGAATACTTTCTTCAGTAAATGGTGTTGGGGCAACTGGATCTCCACATACCAAAGGATGAAGTTGAACCACACCTCATACCCTATGTGAAAATTAACTCAAAAGACCTAAAGTTAAGAATTAAAACATAAAACTCTTCAATAGCTATGGGACCTAGTTTTTAATAATACTTAGATGTGACACCAAAAGAACAAGTAACAAATGAAGGACAGATGGGATATCATCAAAATTTCAAAGTTTCACATATAAAAAAGCGTTATCAACACAACCTACAGAGTAGAGAAAATATTTTGGAATCATAGTCTGATAAAGGCTTAATATCCAGAATAGATAAAGAAATATTTACTACTCAACAATAAAAAGACAAAGAACCCAATTGTAAGAATGGGAGGAAGATATAAAAATAGACAATAAACCCACAACAAACTGCTGAGATCATAAGAGAAAATGCAAATCAAAACCAGTGAGAGATCACTTACTAGGTATCAAGCGGAACTAGGAAGGCCACTTTCAGAAAAACCGAACCCAGAAGTGTTGAGAGTGTGAACGAATTGGTGCCCTCACGTGTGGCTGGTACTGCTTCCGTAGAAAATATCTTGAGACAACTTACATTGAAAATCGTTTGCTGGTTCTTCAAAAAACGTAGAATTACTATATGACCCAGCACGTCCACCCCTACATATATGTCTAAAAGACTTCAAAGTAGGGATGCAAACAGATACTTTTACATCACTGTTCACTGCAGCAATATTTCCAGTATCTGAGAGATGAAAACAACCCAAATGGACAACAGATAAATGGATCCATTTAACAGTACAGCCACACAATGGAACACTTCTTGCTAATTAAACAAAATAAAGTTCTGATAAATGATGAGACGTGAACGAAGCTTTACTGCCCTAAGCGAAATAAGACAGACACAGAAAGAAAAGTATTGGCTCCCAACTTACAAGGTATTCAAGTTCCAACAAACAGCACTTATATAACAGTTAGTTATTATTATTATTATAATTATTTACATCTCAGGGTAGGGCACTGTAGGATCAGTACTGGACTTGAAACCACAAGGTTGGAAGTTCAAACCTACCAGCTGCTCCTCAGAAACCCTATACAGGATCGCTATGAGTTGGAACCAACTTTCTGACACTTAATAACATTGTTAATAATAAAAAGGAACGTCAAAAAGTTTGTGGAAAAAATGGAATTAGAAGATAAGAGAAATCTTTTACAAACTGTCTGAAGCACTCACATGCACTACATAAAATGTTACAGCACATAAAAGAACTACAGACAATGTTCTCTAATGTTCTGACTAGAGATGCCATCGTCACACCCAGTGATATCCACATGATCAAGAATCCGCTACAAATGCCAACATCATTCATTGTTTTAATGGATGTTTGTATTTTTAAGTATCTAGTAAAATACATGTAATTTTGTATTTAAGTATGTATATAATGTTTTCAACCCCCCAAAACAAAGACTGGATTTATACATACTAATAATAAAGGGAAGGAGCTTTGGTAGCATAGTGGTTACGAATCGGGCTGTGAACTGCAAAGTCAGCAGTTCGAAACTACCAGCCGCTCCGCGGGAGAAAGATGAGGCTTTCTGCTTCTGTAAAAGATTTACAGCCTCGGAAACCCTGTACAGGGTTGTTATGGGTCGGAACCCACTCGACGGCACTCAACAACAAAAACAATAATAAAAGGAAATAATAATGAAAACTTAAAAAAAAAAATACAAATGAGGTATTCAATTTGAGTCAGAACCAATTTGATTCAGCAGAATGGAACCACATTGGAAGTTGAGAATTACCTGGATATGAAATGTTAAGAATCGGTGCAAAATGGTGAAGGGAATTATTCCTGAATCATACATGTAAAGATGGCTGAAGTAGCAAATATTTTGTTATATAAATCTGTACCCTACCCCCAAAAAACATATCATGAAATGGTATCATAAAAGAAAAAAAAAAAAAAGGGATTCTTGGTCTATGTGGAGGGAAAACGGGGTAAACTTAGATATTGTGGAAATATTGGTGGGTACGTGGGTATTTCAAAGATTTAATACCAACCCTTGATCATGGTAACTTAAAGCAAACCAGTTTTGAGGAAATAGTGTGGGAAAAATCTACTTCATAAAATAAAATGAATCTGGATCAACCAGTTATTATAAAAAGGGCTACTTTCATGATAAAAGTTTTATAAATTATAATTCTAAAAAGAAAAGAAAAAGATAATGCCAACAATGAAGTTAGCAATTATTTCTTACTGATTTTGAAACAAGGCACTTGAGTTTACAGTTTAAATTTTTGAAATGATATATACAACAACGGTTGACACGTTGTTGTTGTTGTTGTTAAGTGCCATCGAGTCGGGTCCGACCCATAGCGACCCTGTACAGGGTTTCCGAGGGTGTAAATCCTTACGGGAGTAGAAAGCCTCATCTGTCTCCCGCGGAGCAGCTGGTAGTTTCGAACCGCTGACCTTAAGGTTCGCAGCCCAATTCGTAACCACTACGCTACCAGAGCTCCTTGGTTGACATGTTAGCATCTTTCTATTTTCGTATCATTTGTTCCAGTGTGTGTGGCGCTGCGGATTAATACACTCACTGGACTGCAGAGTTGGCAGCTCAAGCTCACCAGCCGCTCCTTGGAAATCCTATACAGGATCGCTGAGTCAGAACAAACTCTATGACACTTAGCAAAAACAGCTTTTGTTCTATGTAAAATGATATCCTTTTGTTGTTCTTACTGTCAATAGCTTTGATATACCATCTATCTTCAGTCCAGATTACATTTGGTTTTAAAAGAAACATTCTACATTTATATTAGGTGTCACACATAATTTACTCACCAAATTGATCTTCATTTTCAAAATTACTCATAAATCATGGCTTTCTAAGAGCTGCACATTTTACATTCACTTAAGAAACAGAACTTTGTAAAATGGTCATTACAACAAACAAGGTACTTTTGATGACACTAGTGTGGCTGACCCTCTAGGACTGATTAAAGGATTTTGATTAGGTTCATTACACATGCCTCCCATTTTGACCTCATTCACAAAATTTGTGGCCCTTAACAGTGGAAATCAACAAGGCTTTTACTCCAAGACACTAACAACTTACTAAGAAGGATGGCTCTTTGGTAACTGAAATTGTGGGTAAATCACCAGCACCCTATCCCTAGGAGATCCTAACTCACTGAAGCCTTAAGATCTTAGAGACACACTGTGTGTGTGATCTCTACAAATCACTGGTTGCCGATTATTAAGCCTGTTCACGTTTTATACCGGGCGTATTAGGGTTGGCCATATTTTTTTTTCTCACAAAATCATGACGAAAATTCCTGCGTTACAAAGGAATTCCTCGAAATGTATCTTTTACAAAATATTTTCCTCCTCCAATTGGGATCAATATGGTGTTTAGATTCAAATCATAGCCAGACCACCTACTCCGTCCGCCGTGCCACGCCCGGCCGTGCAGAAGGCCGCCGCGCCCCAGCCTGGCGCTGTGGGCTCCGAAGCCCAGGTGACCGGAGAGCGGCGGCGGCAGGAGGCCTCGGGCACACCCCGCCAGAGGAAACCGAGCGGCTCCGGAGTGGCCCAGGAGAGGCGAGGAGGCGAGGGCTCCCGGGTCAGGAGATCGTGCGCTCACCAGAAACAGAACCTGGCCAAACGCCGACAAATACCAAACCCACCTCACGCACAAGAATGAGACGAAGCGTGGCTGCTGGGGCCCTGGACGCGCACTTCCACTTCCGGTTTCTGGGAAAAGAAAGGGGTTTCGAGCGCGAACTCAGAGGACTCCACCTAGTGGTCGTGGGTTGCAGTGGCATCTGCCCTTGGATTTGGAGTTGGAATCTAACCTGTTTATTTCCTCAGGTGAGAAAACCCTGAGGTTGCTGTGTGCCCTTCAGTCAGTTCCAAGTCATGATGTTGTTGTCAGGTGCCATCGAGTCGGTATCGACTCATAGCAACCCTACGCACAACAGAACAAACACTACCCAGTCCTGGACCAACTAACCTCACAATCATTGCCTGAGCCCATCGCTGCCGCCACCGAACAAATCCATCTCATTGGGGGTCTCCCTCTTTTACTTCAACCCTTCACTTTACCAAACATGATATCCTTCTTCAGTGACTGATCCTTTCTAACAACAGGTCCAAAGTATGATAGATGAAGTCTGGCCATCCTAGCTTCCAAGGAGCCTTCTGGCTGTACTTCTTCCAACACAGATCTATTTGTTCTTTTGGCAGTCCATGGTACTTTCAGTATTCTCCTCCAAAACCATAACCCAAATGCATCAGTTCTTCTTACTGCCTTCCGTATTCACTGTCCAACTTTAGCATGAATATGAGGTTGTTGAAAATACCATGGCTTGGGTAAGGTGCACCTTACTCCTCAAACTGGCATTTTTGCTCTACAACACTTTTAAAAGGTCTTGTGCAGCAGATTTGTCTAATGCAATGTGTCTTTTGATTTCTTGACCTCCATGAGTGTTGATGGTTGATCCAAGAAGAATGAAGTCTTTGACAACTTCAATCTTTTCTCCATTTACATGGATGTTATTTATTGGTCTACTGGTGAGGATTTTTGTTGTCTTTACATTGAGGTGCAACCCATAACGAAGAATGTGGTCTTAAATCTTTATCACCAAGACACAGTGACTCTATATGGGGTTTCTAAAGCCGTCAATGTTTACGGGAATAGAAAGTCTCACCTTTCTTCAGCGGAGTAGCTTGTGAATTGGAACTGCTGACCTGCACAACGTGTAACTCACGACGCTACCAGAACTCCTAGAGAAAAGCCCAGAATTGTTCATTTGTATATAAGCTGAAAAGCGGATAAGATTGCTGATGTACTTTCAGGATAGGAAAGTTGTATTTCATATTTTGTCATTAAAATTTTTTTGCATACTACCAAGACTCCTGGTAGCGTAGTGGTTACGAATCGGGCTGCGAACCTTAAGGCCAGCAGTTCGAAACTACCAGCTGCTGTTCTGCTCCCGTAAAGATTTACAGCCTCGGAAACCCTGTACAGGGTCGCTATGGGTCGGAACCGACTCCACGGCACTTAGCAACAACAACAACAACCAAGACTCCTAGGTATGTATACACTAGAGGAATAAAAGCTATGACACGAATAAGTAGATGCACATCCATGTTTATTGCAGCAATATTCACAACAGCAAAAGAATGGAAATAACCTAAAATTTCATCAACAGAAGAAGGGAGAAACAAACAATGGTGCCAACACATAATAAAATTTTACACAGTGTTAAAGAATAGATGAATCTGTGAAACACCTTGTAACAGGGATGAACTTGGAAGACCTTATGTTAAGTAAAATAAGTCAATCACAAAAGAACAAATACTGGGTGAGACCACTATTATAAAATTCCAGGAACATTAAATATAGAAAACTTTTACAAAACAATTCTGTTATTAACCCACTGCCATCGAGTCGACTTTCATTATTGAAAGATTCTCTGGGAAAATTATTGAATGATGCAGAATGCATCAAGAAAAGATGGAAGGAATACACAGAGTCATTGTACCAAAAGGAAATGAATGGTTAATGTTCAACCA